TCTTATGAGTATTCTCTTGGATCCAAGCCAAATGATAACATTACTTTTACATTTTAAACTAATTTAATTCGGAGTTTGTAGTCTTACTTATTCATTTCTAAAATTAAAGCTTTTATTTCAAAAGAACTTTTTTTTGCCATGATGCCCGTGATGTCCATGGCCGTGTCCACCCCCTCCACTACCACCACCGACAACCACTGGCTTGATCACAACAACGGGCTTCACGATGACGGGCTTCACAAAGACAGGCTTTGGCTTAACAAACTTGGAAGATAGGCCAGCCAGCAGCTGCTTTGGATCCGGAAGGGCGGGCTTCGGCTTGACAAGCTTCGATGACAGAGTGGATAAAAGTTGGCTCGGATCCGGTAGGTTGATCGGCTTCAGGGCGATTTCCTTGGACTTGCCGAGAGTGGGCGTGGACGTGGCTAGGGCGCAGACCGTCAGAAATACTGCCGTGGCCAGGAGCAGCAGATAGCTCTTGCGTGGATCCATTGTGTGAAGTGTGGAGGCCACAGAATGTCGCAAAGTATTTATGGTGGCCACCGAGGCTCATTGGCATGCACCACTTGCTGTTCGATCTCTGTGAGCTTTTATTCAAATTTGATTCGATCGATCGATCGAGGCTCTGCAGCCGAGTAGCCAGGCGGAAGGTGCCGGCAGGCCTGGCGGTATTCCATGTGATTGTTGTTGCTGCATCGTCGGAAGAATTCCCCATGTGTAAGTGTAGAATTCACAATTATGCGGCAGGGCAGGGTTTTCCTAGTCGTAATTCTGCCCAACTTTTATTCATGATCGCTCCAAAGTAGCCAGCCATTCGAGTTGGCATTCAGAAGGTGAGCCGCCAGATCCAAATCAGGAATGACGTCTGTATTCTCTCCCGCATTCGCATGCTTAATGTGTTTCAGCGAGAGTTGACATAATTTCTGGATTTTGTTAGCTGGCTGAACCACATGGCGGAAATACAAGTTTGAAATGTTTTATTAGGCCGCACAAATGTCTTTCATGTTCCACGTACAATAACAAACAATTGAATTGGAGTGGTTTTAAATTTCGGAGATTTAATTCCAATTTAATTCCGATTTTAGTTTTTAGATTTTAACCGCTTCCCATCGATATAACTCTTTTAGGTATCGATATTGTGGTATATAAAATATTTCTGAGGATCTGCCACACTGGTATACAGGATGACCATTTGCAGTTCATAGGCATAGCCGTCAGCTTTTGACACAATGCAATAAATCAGCTACCATACGCCCTTTTTGCTCGTGTATTGTCTCATCATCACTGTCTTTTCATATCGGTATATAATGGTACATTAATGATTTTCATAGGTCCATTATTTTCCAACTTATAGGTATATTCAAAAATATAGGGTATCTAAACTCCAATAAGCAAATGTCCCTAGAGAAGTTTCTCTCATTTCCATAGGGACTTCTCTCTCTCCTTTGAAGGAATATTTCTCTCTCGATATATAGAATTTTAATTACCAATCAGGTAACGTTTTATGCTCTTTTTGTTGGTTGACTTTTTTTGGTTTTAAACTGAATTTGTAAAGATTCCAAGAAAAGGAAGTCGTGAAAACAAACCAATCTTGTGGAGAATTGATTGATAAATCGGATAAAGTTATAGTTTAATCGCGGAGACTCCTAACTAGCTAGTAATATTAAATAGAACATCAAAATAGAGGAATATGATTAAAGACACGGTATATTTTTGGTATATTTCCGATTTTCTGCTATCGATAATTCCACGGTCACACTGCTGTGGATTGTAAATAAATAAATTTTTGTATTTTTAATTTGTAATTTGCGCGAAATTATGCCATGTCGTGTGAGTATAAGTTGCCGCACTCTCGTGACACACACAGTAAAGTTCCATTCCTGCCATTTAGACTCCGTCAAAAGTGGTGACCCAGCAGCAAATGCCTCCATGCACGTGGAAGACAATAACGAACACCTGACTGTCCAGAAGTCTGCATTGCTTTGTAATTTTTGTAGGAATGTATACGAGACAGAAGAGGCTTACGAGGAGGACCATCGCTGTGGCAGCTGCCTGAGCGGCATTGGCGTTGAATGCATAGAAGATATGGATTTGGTTGAGGAAGAGAAAGAGGAGGAGGAAATAGTGGAGGCGGATGTGCCCATGTGGGACGTGGTGGATAGCGATCGCGTCGATGCAGAGTCGGAACGTTACTTTTGCTTTGATTGCCACATAATATACGAGAGCCACAGCAGTGCTGAAAATCATGTGTGCCCCCCAGAAGGGACTAGCAATGGAGGCAGCCAAAAGGCAACCATGCCCAAGCAGCCCGTCCGACGCAAAGTTCCTGGTGCCGGTGCAACAGCAGGCACTAACGGAGATAGTCCCAAGTTTATTTGCAAAGTTTGCAATACCATTTTCAATGCGCAAAAGAGTCTCAAGTTCCACATGCGCATACACGACGAGCGCAAGCCAAAGCGGATTCAGGATGCCCTTCCCGTGGGCGCTCATCAGGAGTATAGCCAACTGGATCTGTTTTTCTGCGAGATCTGTCAAAGAGAGTGAGTGTCACCGATAAGCCAAGATAACGACTGTTTACCACCCACACTGTACCATCTGCTTTAAGGTTTGATTATGGCCTCAAGACGATTCACCAGAAGATGCACGTTGAGGCGCCGAGCAAGTTTGTGTGCAGCACTTGCAATCGCCAGTTCGAGAACTCCACCAACTACCAATTGCATTTGAAGATGCATCAGAAGAAGCAAGCGGAACCTTCTGCTGCGGCGTCGAAAAAGGTGCCCGTGGACAAAAGTAAAGCACAATTTCCATGCCAGTACTGCGAGAAGGTGTTCTACCGCCCATTTGAAAAGGTCAAACACGAACGAATTCACACAGGAGAGAAACCGTACCGCTGCGAGGCGTGCGGCAAAACGTTTCGCGTCTCATACTCTCTCACCCTGCACCTGCGCTCCCACACAGACATTCGGCCGTACGTGTGCATTGTCTGCAATAAGCGGTGAGTGCCAAAAGAAACGCAATCAAAATGGTCATTAATTATATCTTTGCTGTAGTTTTAAATTGCAGTCAAATTACGCCCATCACCTCCTCACCCATGGCGCTGAGCGTCAGTTTTCCTGTGATATATGCTCAAAGTCCTTCCGTACATCGGTGCAATTGAACGGCCATAGGAATTCGCACACCAAGCCATTCGAGTGTGAGATTTGCAATCGTCCCTTTGCCTCGCTGTATGCCGTCAACAATCACATGAAAACCCACAAGAATGATAAAGGCAGCAAAGGTGCCACTGTGGTTGTGTCTGCTGAAAAGGGAGACGAATCTATCAAGATTCTAGCTGGTGGAAAGTGCTCTTGCAGCGAGTGCGGGGCAGAGTACTCGCGCGCTTATGCGCTGCGCCAGCACCTAAAATCGGCTCACGGCAAGGTGTTGGGTGCCGTTGCACAAAGAAGTGAGCAAACTTCCCTTAAGGAGTCCCAAGTGGCCGAGGCAGACGACTCTGAGGCGGCAGTACGCATAGCAGCAGCAGAGGCAGATGCTGCATACATGAATGCGGTGGTAAACGACGTGGACGTCAGTGGTAGCGTGCCCACCTACCAGGAGGCCGTTGAGGTAAGTACAGCTGGGCCCAAATTGTATTTTCCCAATCATTTAGAACTTTTCCTCCCTTTCAGTTCGATGTGGACAACTTCGACAGCGAAGAGATCATCAGTGATTGGCTGAAATAGATGGCTTCTCATGATTTGTAGATGTTTGTATTTTCCTATTGAATAAACATAAAGAGAATAGTTTATTTGGCAACTGTTACAATCAACCGCAGCTCAGGTTAGCAAATAACTTTTATTGGGGAACATCATAACTGGCGATTAACAGGTAAATATATTGCTGGCTTTCACTGAGACCAGTCCGTTGGGTTAGGGTACATACAGGGATAAATTATAAAATGAAGGAATTGTGTAACTACAACTAATTGTATAATTTTAAATAAACAAAACAGGTGAGCATGGGCAGGCAATTATTTCTGATCGGCTGCTGTCTCTTCCTCCTCCACCTCGCTGGTGTCCTCGTCACAGATTTCCTTGAGCACCTCTACCAAATTCTTTGCCTCGTCTAGTTCCTGACGCATTGTGTCTATCTCCTCCTCCAGTCCCTCGATGCGTTCATGCAGATGTCGGTTCTCCGTCAGCGAGTCCTCCAAAGCGACGCGCCGCTGTTCTGCCAACAATTTGTAGTAGTTCTCCCCGGGCTCACACTCGCTGGTGAGATCGTCTGCTGTGATGGGTTTGTCAGCGTCGTTCTGCGACTTCTCGGTCTGTGTATCGGCGTCCTTCGTCGATGTTGCAGCTGTTGCGGTGTCCACGCATTTGCGTTTGCCGTACTTGGTGCTGGGCGTAATTGGGACGCCGGCCTTCAAGCGACTAAGTTGATCCACGATGGAGGCGCGTCCCGACAGATTCTCCTTATCGTTGACGTTGCCGTGCAGCGGCTTCAGGGTCTTGCGTTGGTGCTTCAGATGCTCCTGCTGCTCGGCCTCGCTTTCGACTTGGATGTAGACTCTTGCAGCTCCCGTAGACATCTTCAATGCTGTTCGTTTTACTTATTTCTTAATGTTTAAGCAAGCGAGTGTGCTGTTTGCTTGCCGTTTTGTTTATGCATTAATTTTCTCCGCCAAATCTCACGTTGTAATGGCCGCCAAAAATGCTGTGGCTAGGGTTGCATAAATACGTATCGATATAAGTGTTGTAAAACAGTCGCACAAGCATATCGATATTGATATGATTGAGATCCAAACAATCTACATTTCATGCATCTATTAAATTAGATTTGTAATAGGGTAGTGGTTGGTGCCAGCATTGTAGAGAATTAACTCATCAACTGGCTAAAATTGTTGTTTCAAAGCTGAGAGTGTTAACCTGCTGTTAATATTAAACAGAATATCAAAATGGGGGAATATAATTTTCATCGGTATATTTACAGTATATCTTGACAAGGATAGGGTATACATTTTATCGGAAAATCCGCGGTCACACTGCAATGTACATCCTTCGGACTCCGCCCATTTGAAAAAAAAAACATGTAAATTCTGCAAATAGCGTAATTAAATCGTTCACCTTTTTATTTCCACTCGACGCACACCCACCCGCACAACACCATCCTGCGCCCATAGCACAGAACAGTCAAACGGCGGTCAAGATGGACCACAACGAGATTTCCATGTGCATGGACGTCAAGTTGGATACACACGATAAGCGCGCAATGGCGCTGCGCTATAAGACCTGGACTCGATGCCAAGTGAAAATCGAGGCCATCAAGTGTGTGCCCTGCTTCCTGCGCCTCACATTTCAAGGATTTGCGGAGGCAGAAGATCCGCCAGCATCTTCCAAAGCGCTGAGTGTCTCGGTAAATGTGCCCGGGGTCAGTATCAGCTTGGCCACCTCACGGACCAAGCAGCACTCGTACGGGCTGTTTTGGACGCAAAATCGGCGCGAGTGCTTCATTTACTTTGCCCTGGAAACGGAGATGTCCTGCCGGCGCCACATGAAGTGGATGAAAAAGTCAATCAAGAATCTGGAGCTATACCGACAGGTTTTCCTGGAGCAGCGCCGACTGAGTAGGGGTCCTGGTGCCCTGGGGCCTTTGCCAACGCTGCCAGATTCCTTGGACATCAGCCACTTCTCGGCACGGGTCTCGCAGATCTATGAGGAAATCTTTGACGGCAGCCGAATATCTCGCGCCTCCATTGCCTCGGGCATATACGAGGAGATGAAGCCAGCTGTCATGGAGACGCCTTTGCCGCCCCCCCTGCCCACACACCCATATCGTAAGCGCATAAACACCTTTGAGTGCTCTCCACTTGGCGACATTCCGCGATCCTGCACCAATCCCGAGGTAGAGCTGGCCAAGAAGAAGAAATACAAGAATATGTTGGACAACTTCTTCGGCGGTACGCGCCAGAAACGCGCGGGCAGTGTGAGTGAGCCCGATCAGCAGCCGAAGGACGACCAGTTGCCGCTGTACGAGAATGCTCCGACACCCGAGATGGCGCTGCCCTTGAAGCGCACTTCCCAGCTGAGCAAATCCCAGCGTAATAGCTTCTCGAGTCCCGACCTGTCGAAGCTTAACTTTCTCGACACCTTCGAGGAGGACATTTTCACGCAAAGCCATGAGTCGAGCGTTGAGCTGAACATCAGCCTGGATGAGTCGGCCATCGAACCAATCTCCCGGGATCAGCTGGTCGCCCAGATCACGAGGCACCTCAGCAAATCCGGCTCCCTGGAGAGCTTGAATGTGTCGGAGCAGCTGCCGAATAACTTTAACTTTTCCGCATGCAATTCGTCAACCATTAATCTGATCGGCTCCCATGGGGCAGTGCCGCACAGCAATCAGGTGAAGAAGAATAAGATTATGGTGGACGATCTCACCGGCTACTGTGTGATGGCGCCCATTGTGAAGATCATAGAGAAGGAGGTGCTGCCGCAGCCGAGTGGAAGCACCGCATCCACCTCGTCTGGCTATTCTACGGGCTCCTACTGCTCTTCCACCAGCAGCTGCAACACGGAGGACCAACCCACCAAGACACTGGTAGCGCCGGCGGCCAATGAGAGTGACATTTACGAGGCCATGCACGGCAGCTCCTTGAACAGCACCACAGCAGCAGCGACGTCCGGCTTTGCCGAGCATTTATATGAGAATCTTTTGGCCGTCAAGGCCGCCCAGGAGCTGGAGGCGCATCCTCATGGCATTGGCCTCAGCACCAGCACACCCACCGAATCTCCTTTGCCAGCCTTGCCGCAAAAGGGAACGCCCAAGGAGAAGGACAGCTATCAGAAGGAGGAGGAGGAGGACTACTACCAGACGCCCAGGAAGTCCATCATAAGCGTAGACGACAAGGTGCCCTCCTACTATCCAAACAGCTGCGACACTCTCAAGTCCAAGCGACGAAGTCCCACCGAACATGGCCCAAGTCTGAGGCATCTGGTTAGTTCCAAGCTGCGTCGCGAGCGCAAGGAGAATCTCTACATATCGTCGCCACAGCAAATCATCGAGCAGCGCCAAAAGGCCAACAGCACATCCTCATCAGCATCATCATCATCAACCACCAAGACTAAAATCTCAACCAAGAAGACTGCCGCCCACAAGATCTCCGAAGGTGTCTATGCCGTGACACATCCGGTCAAGCGGCCCAATAGCACAAACAACAACAATCACAATAACAATAATATCGAAGGAATAGAGGAGGAGCTCTTGCACCTAACCATGCTCAAAAATATTGATTTCAAATTCGATGACGGCCAGTCCACTGAAGAAGAATCCCCGGTCCAGCATAGATCCCCCAGCATGAACGGGGGTATTGTCCAGCCGCGGCTGGAGGATGAGTACGAGAACCACTATCAGGCAGCCGAGCAGGCAACACGGTTGCTCCAGAAGTATGCCACGCTGGCGAAGTTTGGCAATTCCCCGAGCAAGAGCAAGCCAGTGGTCCAGCAGCAGCAGCAGTTGCAGCCCATGACACAGTCGGTGGCCACGTCCAATGAACTCCAGCCACCTGGTGGTGGCATGAAAAAGTTTGCATCGCTGCCACGTTTCAAGAGAATTGACTTTTCGCCGCTGAAAATGCGTCTGAACAATGTCCTGCAAAGGAATTCTCCATCGCCGCAGCCTTAGGCACGCCGCAGATCATGCACTTGAGTGTCCATCCACAGCAAGGAATATCTTTACCACGTGCCGCTGTGGAAGAATTGTTTAAAGTATCGCTTAATTTATGTTAAAGATTATCTTGTGATTGTGATCTCCCCAGATTTCCTCAGCCTGCACTTTATGGTATTTTATTTTATCCATGTATGTAATACGCTTACCCAACGTTGCCCCTAGTTTATATGATGTCTAGCCTTATATGTTGATCCAGCTTTGTCATAAGTACACGCGAATAACGAATCATATCCAGTTCCATTTAAGGGAGCGACTCCTAGTATTACAATTACTGTTGTGAAGTGAATTGAATTGATGATGAATGTCTGTCTCTATACGCTACCCACTAATATGCTCAATTATGGACAATTTACAGAAACGCTTTTATACGAATTATACAAAATTGATATTGTTAACTCATTTAGGCGCCTCGTTGTTGAAAAGAAAACCAAATTAAGTTGAATAAGTTTTAATTCTATATAATAATCGAATCATCAAATGTAACATTATACTCGGCCTACACACGCCATCCCCCCACAGATATTTTGGGGTCGGGTGGGAACTACGCTTTTTGGCTTCGCATAACATATCAAAAACTGATTAGTCCTATTACATAAATTAGCTTATATAGCCCCCACCAAAGCTCAATTGTACCGTGACTAAGATGTAAGCTTAACAGCAAATATTTGCCGCAAAACGAAATAAATTTACACAGAAACTATTGTCAACAATGGAACACTTTATTTCGTCAGCAACTTTAGCCTCAACTGTAGACCATTGTCCGTCGTTGCTCATGTAGAAAGTCCTGCTCAATTCGCGTATCCTTGGGCACCACATAGAAGAGCAGAGCCCCGCCAGAGACAAAGAAACCCTTCTCACTGATTATGTCGCTTAGCGATTTCTCGAGTTCCACCTTGTGGACACAGGCCGCCTTGCGGTTCTCGTAGTAAACATTCACATTGCCCAGTCGGTAGTTCTGCGACTTGTCGCAGGGCAATGGCTCGGCAAATAGCGTCTTGAGGCAATCCATCATGGTGGCGGTCTCCGGCAGCTGCTGGGGGAAATCGCTGAAGAGGAATTCGGGGTAGGAAAATGCTGCCGGCCAGATTAGAGTGCTGCCATCATCGTCGATGTGCACTGGGTGGTCCTCTAGTGGCAGAAACTTGGGGCGTAGCAACTCCTCGGTAATGTTGACCTTTTTTCCTACTTTCTGATCGTCGAATTTGATGGCACGCTGCTCAATGGCGTCGCGCAGCTTGTGGAATCGGGTTAGACGACGCTTGGACTCGGCGGCCTCTTTGCGCTGATTGCGTTCCGTTTCCATCTGAAAGGAACACAGAAGTTTATATGGAAAACAATGAGGATTATCCCCAGCACACACACACCTTCTTCATCTTGTTCTTGTGCAGCAGCGCCTTGGCCTCCTTGTGGTCGACATCCACCTCCAGCAGTTCCTCGCACATCTGCGTGCACACGTCAAACTTGTCCAGCTCATAGGCACACTGGGCTGACCTCCAGCGGGCCTTTGTGTAGTCCGGCTTGAAGAATAAGGCGCGCTGTGCATCGCTCAGCGAGGATCTGTAGTTCTTGATGAAATAGTGGGCCGCTGAGCGATTATTATAGAGCACGGACAATACATCGGGATTGTCCGTCTTCGACTTGATGCCCTCGCTGAAGCTGTAGACGGCCATGCGGAATTTCTTGTGCTTCATGTAGAAGTTTCCATCCTCTTTGTAATTGAGAGCCAGCTCGTCGCGTGTATTCTCCTCCGGATCGTACTTCAGCTTCTGCAGGCCCTCGAACATAGGATGGACATCGTCGCCAGGCTGTGGCGCCTTCTTCATGAAGAACGGGTGCTTGTCCATTTCCTCCTGCCATCGATCCTCCGGCCAGCCCTCCTCATAGCGCTTCTTCTCCAAGCCATCGATGAAAGCATCCAGCTCTGCATCTAGCTGCGCAGCCAGTTCTAGTCGTTCCTCATCCGTCCAATTCTTTTGGGCAGCTAGCTCATCCATTCTGGCTCGTAAAAAAAAGAATAACAAAGGAATCGCACATGCTGAATGAGGCGTTGCCAGATGGTCGAAGATGGGTAAACAAAATGTTTTGCCTATCACACAAAAGTATCGAATATATTAAGAAGAGTTAATTTTAGATCTAACAAAGTGAAACAACAAATTATAGTGTGCATTTGCCCTGAAAGAAAATTATATGGTGATTTGATGGTAATAAAATTTTTTCTTGAGTGCAAGAAATATCACCTAGAAATATATCATCAGATAAAACTATCTATCGATAGATTGACCCCATCTCTTTTCACGAATAACTGCGGTTCGCGTTTCCTGCACTTTTTCCAAAGGTAAATAATTCCTTAAATTAAGAAACCATCCCGTTTTTAAGCCAATATGTATATGCGAAATACTATTGCCAGCAGTATTAACTATCAATAGATGGAGTTATTTTTGCCCTGGCAAGATGTCTATACGTTTAATTATTCATTGAAAAATCAATGGGCAGTGCTGATAGTGACCCCCAGCTGCGGGTTTTCTGCCGGCACCAAATGTTGCGCTAAGCCGCTGTTAAGTGATTGGTTTCATAATGCATGACTAATGGACAAAGCATTTGCTTGATTACAGATAAAAATGCCAGAACTTACTGAAATCAAGAACGAGGCTCCCTCCACCTCCGCCGAGGCTAAGGTCGAGGATGTGCGTGTCGAGGATGATGGCAGCGACAGCGACTCCGACGGCATGCCCGGCTTGGAGGAGACTGGCGCAGGCACCACCCAGTTGGGTGGCGGAGCCACTGGCTTGCCCATCGATCTGGTGTCCAAGGCCAAGCAGTCGCGCGGTGAGAAGAAGGCGAGGAAGATCATGCTCAAGCTGGGCCTGAAGCAGATCCAGGGCGTCAACCGTGTCACCATCCGCAAGTCGAAGAACATTCTGTTCGTGATCAACAACCCGGATGTGTACAAGAATCCCCACAGCGACACCTACATTGTGTTCGGTGAGGCCAAGATTGAGGATCTGTCCCAGCAGGCTCAGGTCGCCGCAGCTGAGAAGTTCAAGGCCCCAGAGGCTGCCGGCGCCGCCGACAGCGTTGGTGCTGCTACATCGGTGGCTCCGATTGCCGAGGAAGATGAGGAGGAGGTCGACGACACTGGAGTCGATGAGAAGGACGTTGAGCTGGTCATAACGCAGGCGAACACGACGCGAGCGAAGGCCATCAAGGCTCTGAAGAACAACAGCCACGACATAGTCAATGCAATCATGGAGCTTACCATGCTCTAGACATCGCTCCACGTGCTGCAGAAACTATGATTTCGTTGCTTACCCGCCCTTTCGATAATTACAGACCTAACTGTTTGGCATGCCAGCAAGCGAAGGCATGGTACACCAGTAAACATTTATAAATATTCAAAACATTAATCAAGAATAAAGTGGAATTCTTTCAGACGCAATTCCTGTTTAATGTGGGACTAGCATTAGGATTTCTCTTACTACGGGCGCTCTCCGCTCTCTTCAAATGCAATTGCAAATTTCAACTTAAAACAAATTCGAAAGTTAAGTACATTCATTACATTAATTACTGTTAGAAGAGATTAGGGTTAGGGTGACTGGCACATTGTGGATTAGTCGAGGGGGGGTCAAGTAATTAGGTGGAGATTGGATCCAGCTTGAGGACACGAGCCTGGCTGCGTGCCTGCAATCGTATGTCCGCTGGACCCTGCATCCAGGGCTCGCCATCTGTCTGCATCGGAACAGTTTCCTTTACTTGCAGCTAAGAGCAGAGGATGATAAAAATACAGAACTCTCCGCCAAGACGTTGGAACTTACCCTAATCTGCTTGGCTTGACCAATCCGCACCGGTTTGCTTATGTTGCACTGCAGCTGGGCAATGTGAAAGGATGAGACGATGCCAAACACTTCCATCACCCCGTCGGAGATTGAGTTGACGATGCGCGAGCCGCCATCGGAGTTGCTCAGCTCAACCAGCTTGACACCAGCGCCCCAGGAGTCTATGTTGAGAAAGACCAGCGCCTGTAGTTCCGGCAGTTGAATCTGTTTGTTGTCCAGGTACAAGGTGAGTTTTTCCTCAATGCGCTCGCAGCCCGGCTGCATCACCTGCTGCGTTCCAAATGTAAAGTACAGCAGCTGCAAAGGATGGATTTGAAATGTCTCTTGAACTTCGTCACTTCTTTGAGAGCTACCTTATTGAAAATGCGGCTGCTGAGGAGATAGAAACGAGATTCACGCGTCTTGTGGAAGTTGTAGGTGATGTACGCGTCCACACCCACGCTGAAGTAGTTGTACACGTGTATCGTCTTTGTGGGATGTCTTTGAATGGGCAGTCGATAGTGCAGTTTCTCGATTTGCAGGTCATAGCGATCCAGGTTGACCGAGCGGGCGCGTCGAATGTTGCGCAGGATCTGCACGGGATCGAGAGTAGTGGGTGGTTCTGCTCCCCAGCCAAGAACTCGCGACAAATCGTTGCCAGTGCCCAGCGGCATGATGGCCACCGAGGGCTGGGGCTTTATGTTCAAAGCGTAGATGGTGTTCATCACCCAGCCAATGGTCCCATCTCCGCCGGCCACCAGTATGCGACAGGGGCGGGGACTAGCCTTAGCGGCCCACTGCAGCGCGTCCTGGGGTCCGCGGGAGCCGAGTTCCATGACCTGCATAGGATGCAGGTAGCCACGCAGCAGGGACAAAACATCGGCGCCCGTACTGCTGCCTGACTTTGTGTTGGCTATCACAATCAAGGGCTCCCAGTTTTCTATATCGGGCGGCGTTATACTGGCCAGGTGCAGGCGCATCGAGTCACGAGTGCGGGCGGCCACAAAGCTGTAAGGCGGGAAAATCATGTCCTTAAACTCGCCGAAGTCACACTCGCCCTTGACATTGATCTCCTTGTGGCAGTCATCGTGGTAGCAGCGCTGGCACCAGGCACAGCGCCAACCATACAGTCCCGGATCAGTGCTGGCATGATGATCCACTTCTTCGCCACACTTCGAGCAGATGATCCCCATCGGCAGATTTCCGTGGACCCATAGATGGCGCACAGAAGTCTCGTTGCGCAACCACTTGTCTTTGCATCGATATCCTCTGTCCGCCTGCCTCTGGCATACCGGCGTTGCGTGCGTGCAAAGACCGCAGCAGTCGCAGAAGAGACCAGCCGAGGGAGTAAGCAAAATCTCGCAAACATTACAGAAGCAGGCCTGCAATGATTAGTAAATATTAATATTGGAGCGGGGGGGTGGAGTGCTGACAACAAGTGAGTGTACGCACCTGCTCGATGATTTTTATTGATTTCCAGCTGTGGCGTGATTTCCCCGTTAATATGCTAATGACAACATCTTCGGCCAGAATACTGCGACAGAACGCAAAGAGCACGCCCAGTGCCAGCAACGAGCCAATGAGCGCCTCCACGCTCAGCTCAATGGTGGCAATGTCCATGGTGCGTGCACAAGATCCTCTAATTATGCTAAATAATTGCAATTTTCGGCATATTTACGATTCGTTTGTTTTTCTTCAGCCAACATCCCGATTACCGACTGCTAATTGCCACAGTGATGGAAAACGAGCTTCAAAACAAACAGCTGAGACGGCAGTCTAGCTTTTATCGCTAGATTTTAGTAGCAGGATTAAATAAATTGGTTTACAGTCCGAAAGGGCCATTTCCAATCAAATTGATAACATTCTTGTTATTAATACATGACACTTTGTAGTGGTAAACAGTCTATATCCATCTAAATATATTAAATTTAGTCAAAGGGTTCTAGCAGTTTTGTAGCTGGCAGCACCAACAGTGTCGGATCGCTCTGTTTCAGTGTTGCGAAGCGCTTGCTGTCTTTTGAGCGGCGCACGTGGAGCAAAATCAAAGTGCTCAAGTTTTTATTTTGTTTCTGCTCAAATATTAATTAAATTTAGTTAGAAGCATGGGTCGCAAGGCTGAGTTCGATGAGAAACCGAAGAAGGGACCTGGCCGCAAGGCGCGCAAACAAGGAGCACCCGTATTCCGCAAGCAGTCTTTTGGTAAGTGAATGTGAAATGCGGCACTGAAGATTTTCTCACTTGAATATTGTGTCGTGCAGCTCCCCAGGAAGAGGAGGACAAAAAGCTGTCTCACCGTCAGAAGCAGCGGTTTGTCAAGCGGGAACAGAAGAAGGTAGTCCAAAAAGCCAAGATACAGGAGAAGCGTGCAAAGGGGCAGCAGAAGCAGCTGGCTCAAAGACAAAAGAAATACAACAGCGACAGCGAGCCCGAGGATGAGGTTGTGCCCGAAGATGGCACTGAATCCTCAGAAGAGGAGGTTCCACAGCTTGTACCAATGGGCAAACCACAAAAGGGCTTCACAGATGAAAATGACGATTGGTTAAAGCCAAAGAAGCAGCAGAAACAGAAAAAGGAGCCACAGCCCGAGCCTGATTCAGAGGAGGAGGAGGAGGACTCTGATGCTAAGCTGGAGGCAGAAGATGACTCTGACGCTGAATTAGATGAAGAGGTAGACGACGAAGATGAGCAGGAGGATGAAGATGTTTCCGATGACGACGATGCCCAGGTTGGCAAGCTAGCCGATCTCTCCGACAATGATGACGATGATGATGCCAACTCTGATGATGATTTTGATATATCCGATGATGAAGGAGCCCAAGCAGGCAGTGGTAGCGAAGATGACGACGACGAGGATGATGATGACGACGATGACAAGCTTCCCATTGAGCGCGCCAATAAGAAACTGAAGAAGCGCGAGGCCAAGGAGGCGCTGGAGGCAGAGGAGGAAATGCAGATGACAGTGGATCATCAGGATGTGTTCCAGCTGCCGACCGAAGAGGAAGAGGCCGAGAAAGACATCACCTTGCAGGACGTGCAGCAGCGCATCAAAGACATCACCCTGGTCCTGTCTGACTTTAAGAAATACCGTCAGGCAGATCGCTCCCGAAGCGAGTACATCGATCGACTGCGCCAGGATCTTTGCCTGTACTACAGCTACAATGATTTCCTAATGGAGAAGCTCATGGATATGTTCCCCCTGAGCGAGCTCATGGAATACTTAGAGTCATCGGAGGTGAGTCAGCAACCCAACGCAGTTGATCCCATGAAGTTTAACCAATCTAATCTGCCTTCCAGGTGGCCCGTCCGCTAACAATCCGTACGAACACGCTGAAGATACGCCGTCGGCAGCTGGCAGGCGCTCTAATAAATCGTGGCGTCAATCTGGATCCCTTGGGCAAGTGGACCAAGGAGGGCTTGGTCATCTTCAACTCGCAGGTGCCGCTGGGTGCCACTCCGGAGTATCTGGGCGGTTATTATATGATTCAAGGCGCCTCCTCGATGCTGCCAGTGATGGCGCTTGCCCCGCAGGAGAACGAACGCATTCTGGACATGTGCTCCGCTCCAGGTGGCAAGGGCTCCCACATTGCGGCCGCCATGAAGAACTCTGGCGTGCTCTTCGCCAACGATTCCAACAGGGATCGCATCAAGGCCGTTGTGGCCAACTTCCATCGTCTGGGCGTTGTAAATTCCGTTGTGAGCTGCGAGGATGGTACCAAGTTCCGTAAAATAATGACTGGCTTCGATCGTGTCCTTCTGGATGCTCCCTGCACTGGCACTGGTGTCGTGTCGAAGGATCCCAGTGTGAAGACCACGAAGTCGGATGTGGATGTCCAACGCTGCTACAATCTTCAGCGCAAGCTTCTCCTCACCGCTATTGACTGTGTGGATGCGAAATCGTCGACAGGTGGCATTATTGTGTACTCCACCTGCTCTGTGCTGCCCGAGGAGAACGAGTGGGTCATCGACTATGCTCTGAAGAAGCGCAACGTCAAGCTGGTACCAACTGGACTCGACTTTGGTGTTGAGGGCTTCACGAAGTTCCGCCAGCATCGGTTCCATCCCAGCTTGAACCTGACCAAGCGCTACTATCCACACACCCACAACATGGACGGCTTCTATGTGGCCAAGCTAAAGAAGTTCTCCAACACGATACCCATAACCAAGGAGCAGCAGGAGGAGGACGAGAAGCAGCTGGATGAACCCATAGAGGGCGAGACCACCACCGAAGCAGCGGCTGAGGGAGCGGCTGAGGATGCAGAAGAAAATGAGGATGAGAAAGCTCCCCGCAAGCTGCTGGGCAAGCGGGCCGGCAAGCCAAGCCTCACAGACATTGACCAGGATCTAAAGAAGAAGAAGCTCGAGGCGAACAAGAAGAAATACGTGGCCAAGGTGTTTGAGAAACCCGTCAAGGTTGCCAAGACACCAAAGTCAGAGCAGCCACAGGAGACGAATGGTGCACCGAAGTCGCAAAAGAAGAATAAGCCCCAGGCGACGAACGGTGCACCGAAGACCGAAAAGAAGGCGAAGCCCCAGTTCAAGCCAGAGCAGGCCAATGGCAAGGGAAAACCAACGAAACCGGAAGCCGGCAAGAAGTTCCCGTCTCAGCCAAATGTAAAGGCGTCTCCTGGAAAGTCAGCTGCACCCAAGCCCGAAGCGAAAAAGTTCCAGCCAAAGGACAAGAAGGGCGAAGCCAAACAGCAGGCAGCTAAGCCAGCTGCAAACGCCAAAGCCAACGCCACACTGGCCAAGGCTCCGCGCATCGATGCCGACGATGTGCCCGTGCTGGAGGGCAAACCCATCAAAAGGCAGAACAACCTGAAGCAGAAGTCCAAGCAGATCGGGCAGCTGAAGAAGTCAAAGACGGGAGCAAATCCAAATCCGAAAGGAGGCAAGAAGCAAAAGTTTAAGAAGTGAACACGTCAACAAAGTTCCAAGTCGGTTAAGTAGTTGCTTAAGTGTAAGCCTGATGCCCGGTCAAATGCTTGGGGGTAGTGCCTAAAACGATTATCTGTTTTATACTGAAAACTGTTTCTATGTCTTAGCTGCGGATTGAAGCTAAGACGTTGCTTGTAATTAACGAACATAATAAATAAACGTAAAGCTCGGATTAATGTAATCAGAAAGCGGGTTTTACCACTGCAAGTATGCATCGATCAGGCATTAAGTTTTAGTTTTCATTTAGCGATATTTTCCTATGTACATCCAGCCCTAGTGCGAGCTCCAGCTGGGCGTTGCCCCCACACAGCACCACGAAGAGCAAGCTGTCGCTGCTCAGTCGAGCGTTGAGATAAGCTTCAATTTGTTAATACAAATTTCAGTGGCAAACGAGTAAACAACATGGAATGGTGCGTTCTGCTGTGCTCATTCCTTCTCCTGGGATTTGTGCCCATACAAGCGGACGTGGACCAAAGCACGCTGGCGGCTCTGCAGATTCACAAAAATCTGAATAGATCACAAGAGGCCTGCACGAATTTCTGGAACTATGCCTGCGGGAATTATTCAGCTGCCGACGGCGCCAAGTATGTGGATAACTTTGAGCTGGTGGAGGATCTGTACGCCCAGGCCATGGTGGAGTTCATGGAGGGTGACCTGGAGCTTGTGGACAGTGATGTGCAGTTGAATGAAGGACCAGCGCTGCGTTTGTTGGCCCAAATGCGAGCCTATTACAATGCCTGTACCAATGATTCCCAAACCGATTGGCCAGAGGAAGATTTTCGTTTGCTGGAGTCCAATGACTGGGCGCTCGAAACTGCCAAGTTCCGCAGGCATGGATTGAATGCGGTTTTCTTTGACGAGCGCGTAGATGTGGCCTACAACGATTCGCTGCGTTCGGTTGTGCAGCTCAAGATGCCAGATCCCAGCAGCAGCTACAGCGAGCGGTGTGCCCNGCCCATACAAGCGGACGTGGACCAAAGCACGCTGGCGGCTCTGCAGATTCACAAAAATCTGAATAGATCACAAGAGGCCTGCACGAATTTCTGGAACTATGCCTGCGGGAATTATTCAGCTGCCGACGGCGCCAAGTATGTGGATAACTTTGAGCTGGTGGAGGATCTGTACGCCCAGGCCATGGTGGAGTTCATGGAGGGTGACCTGGAGCTTGTGGACAGTGATGTGCAGTTGAATGAAGGACCAGCGCTGCGTTTGTTGGCCCAAATGCGAGCTTATTACAATGCCTGTACCAATGATTCCCAAACCGATTGGCCAGAGGAAGATTTTCGTTTGCTGGAGTCCAATGACTGGGCGCTCGAAACTGCCAAGTTCCGCAGGCATGGATTGAATGCGGTTTTCTTTGACGAGCGCGTAGATGTGGCCTACAACGATTCGCTGCGTTCGGTTGTGCAGCTCAAGATGCCAGATCCCAGCAGCAGCTACAGCGAGCGGTGTGCCCTGCAGCTCCTTAAACTCAATCACTCTGGCAGCGAGGCAGAAGTCTCCAGGCTGGTGGATCAGCTGCGTCAACTGGAAGCAAAGCACCGCCAAGAGGAGCCTCTGGTGCAGTCCTGGACACTGGCGGATCTTGAGCAGAAAATACCACAAATCAACTGGCAGGCGTACTTCCACGAGCTGCTTTCGGGTCATCTGAACGGCGTGCTTTTCGAGGTCAGCGATGTGGATTACTTGCGTGAGCTTGGCCAGCAGTTGGGAAATACCAATAGAAGCACCATTAATCTCTATCTGCGTCTGCGTCTCACCGTTCTGCTGAAGCAGACGGGGCCCGCCAGGCGCAGTCCCAATACATGCATTCACCACATGCGAGCCCTGCTGCCCTTGGGCATGAACTACCTGTACAATCGTTATGTGTACAAGAACAGGAACCTGGTGGACAACATTCAGCTGCTGGAGATCTTCGAAAGCCTGAAGGGTATGTTTGGCAAATACCTGGAAGCCAATCGCCTGCAGCTAAGCCCAGCCCAACTGTCGTACGTGAGGGAGAAGCTGTCGACCATGAAGCTGAAAGTGGGAAATCTGCCAGAGGAGACGTCACCTGCATTCTATGACAGCCACTATGAAAGTGCCAATTTCTCGGACTCTCATCATCTGAGCAATGTCCTCGAGGCGCTGAGTTTGCGCACCCGACTCCAGCACGATGTGCTCCGGCTGCCACACTCCCGATTGGATCTGCGCCGCTACTATGTCAACGATGATGTGGTCAAGGCTCGTACCTCGCCCTTCTACGAGAACGAGCGGAACACGATTACGGTGCCCTTGATCTTTCTGCATTTTCCCCTCTTCGATCACCGCCAGCACTCCATTTTCCAGTACAGCTTGATGGGAGGTGTCCTGGCCCACGAGCTGAGCCACGCCTTTGAACACGAGGGCATCCTCTTCGATGCCGATGGCAATGAGTCGCCAGTGGGATTGCAGATTCGGGACACAAAAGCCTTCCAGAATGCCATCAAGTGTGCGGCCCAGACGCCCGCAGTGTCGCTGAAGGAGCGCTTGGCCGATCTCAATGGCCTCCAGCTAGCCTACGATACCTTTTTCGGATTGGATCACAACTCCCAGCTCTACACATATCGTCCCTATGCATTTGAGAGCGAATTCCAAGCACCGCAGCTGTTCCACCTTAGCTACGCGCAGTTCTTCTGCGGTATCCTGCCGCCGGTGCTCGGTCATGACAGGGACGATGTGCGTGTCAATGTGAACGTTGCAAACTTACGTCAATTCTCATTGGATTTTAAGTGTCCCCCGCCAGCAGTGCAGTCGCCTCCTGTGTGTGAATTGTGGCGCCCGACAGCATCATCTATTTTGGTTTCAGCTTAAGTACTCAAATCAATAAAAAGTAACACATTGTCCATGTTGATCGACTGCTTGATGCCATGTAATAGCTTGATTTCTTTTTAGTTGTGAGCAACCAGAAGATATTTCTGTATTAATCGACACGCAAGATGATCCGCAGGAAAATGCATGCAGTGATTTCTGCTACTCTCTCTCGCGCACTCCACTTTTGGGTAACTTTAAACAGTCACATTTCTATGTCACCGTTCACTAGGGTATCAGAAGTATTAATACTTTGAAAATTGGACAAAATCCATTGAAAGGGCCATTCAATTTGATTATCCATTGCATTTGACAGGTTATAGCTTTGCTGCAATCGCGAGTCGCGACGTGCTTTTGGAATGCTAATGCCGCACAAAATGCCGGTCTCAGTGAGAGCTTTTTTGCTCTCCCTCTCTCTCAACCGTTGCTCATAGTAGAATCACAGCAGGTAGGGAGAACTCTTAAACCTAAAGCTTATTTCATACATTTAAGCTCCCCGAAGAGTGGAATAAACGTACCTTTAACTGTTCTGCCATGCACATGCTTTTGCACCCTCCCTCTCCCTCTCTAACATGCTGTGTGGGCGCAAAGCTTCTCCAGCCAGGCCAAGCTAAAGAAGTTCTCCAACACGATACCCATAACCAAGGAGCAGCAGGAGGAGGACGAGAAGCAGCTGGATGAACCCATAGAGGGCGAGACCACCACCGAAGCAGCGGCTGAGGGAGCGGCTGAGGATGCAGAAGAAAATGAGGATGAGAAAGCTCCCCGCAAGCTGCTGGGCAAGCGGGCCGGCAAGCCAAGCCTCACAGACATTGACCAGGATCTAAAGAAGAAGAAGCTCGAGGCGAACAAGAAGAAATACGTGGCCAAGGTGTTTGAGAAACCCGTCAAGGTTG